ACATTTCAGAGATCCTCTGCCTGCCCCGCCAGACATGCTAAATATAGAATGGGGACAGAATTTCTGTTCGGAGCCACTGCTCTCTTTATCTACATGTAACGCTAGCTTACGTGTTTATGCGCACGGCCATCTTCCCACTGTTACTCAATTATGCATGCAAACATACACGGATCAGCATCAAGTGGTGCTAATACCCTTATTGCACTCCAAGTGTAAAGGTTTCGATCTCTTATAAGAGGTGCTCACGCTTTCCAATTACATTTCTGTCTGGGGCCTCGGACTATGTTATTGTGCCCCGGATAGTCACTTTAAAATTCCTTCATTCTGCCCAGCGGAGCAATCAATCACTCGTCTTTACCTGGCCAAATTCTCCAAATGCACAGCTCTGTGTGAGAGAGAAGGAGTTACTTTATTTGACCTTGTTCTGCTTCTTACTTCGTCTGGGCAGAGTTACCAAAGGGAGCAGAAGAACTCTCTGTGGCAATTAATTGTGCTACTTATCTGTAATGTGAACACTGGATATTACATCTCCAGCAGATATTAATTTAAGGATGTCTCAGGATGGGCAAAGCCAAAGCTAAATATAAAGAAAAGGCAGCATTAAACAATATTGATTTTTTTGTAATGTGATAACCACGTTTTTGTCTTTTTTGTTGTTGTTGTTGTTTTTACTTAGTCATTGTTCTCATTTGGCAAAGCTTTTGGAAGACACATTTCCTTTTTGTGATTTTGTTGGGCAGAACAATCAGGCAAATTATAGTAATTAGCTAAATAAAATTGACGACATTCAATCTGAAAAGTATACAGGGAGGAAAAAAGTATCACCGTGGCAACAACAGCTCTATTAATACTCGAGGCACATGCGTGTGGTTATTTTAAGAAAGCAGGAATTCTATTATTAGCTACAAAAATGCAACTCCAGTATAATTTAATAAGTAATGTTGGAACTTTACTTGAAAATACTGGCTTTTAACTCAGGTTACTTTGATACAAGTCAACACATGATTTTGGGTTTATGAAAAATAGAGGCAGACTTGAGTCATATTCTTAAATAACCCCATGTTCTCTAGTTCGTTTCCTCAAGCAGAGTAAATGTTCAAAAGATTAGAAATGTAGTTTCTAATCATTTGTAATAAGTCTGGACTATAGTCTCTGTTATGTAGTTTTAATGACTAGATAACCAAACAGACTAAATAGAAAAATGATTTAGCCTTGAGGTAGCTAGTGTTTAAAAATCAATATCATCCTGTCTGTTCCTCAGCCATGTTTTCTTTTTACACAGAACAACAAAAATACTGTCATTCAAATGGTTGGAAAGTTGTAAAAATGTTCAAAATAAACACGATGTAAAGAAAAATGAAGGTCTGATATTTAAATTACATAAAACTCTATTTTTCCTTCCTACTTATCCTTGCAGTAGTTTTTTTTTTTCTTCATTCCAAAGAAAAAAAAAAAGCTTTGCCACTGACAAGACTTCTGACTATGAGTTCATTAAGTTAATCTATTAAAGTATAAAATGCTCCATGTACCACAGGCAGAAACAGGAAAATACACATCCTTGTTCTTTTGCTCTGGGTCAGGCAGCTACTCCATCACTAGAGCTGTACCTCTCTTATCTCTGTGTCCTCTGCTCTAATGTCGCCAACAAACTCAGCAGTTTCTGTCAGAGATGTATTCTGCACCTTTGCCGGCAGAAATTAGAATTAGAATAGGTCCAACAGGTAATGTTTGGAGGCTGGTAAACGTTACTGCCCAGGCTGTTTTGTAACTAGCTCTAGATGGATGTTTACTACGTGCCACACCCTTACTACCGCACCTGCACACTTAGAGAACCTCAAATGCTCAAAGGAAGATTTGGAATTTAAAGCTCATATCTAAACATGTCACACAAGAAGTAGCCTATAATTCAAATGATTGGACCAGGTAGTCTATGTGGAAAGCCAAAAGTGACACAAATGAATAAATCAAGAAGTCCAAAAGTTGTTATTGATACATGGGAAAATTTTTGTAAAATTAAAGTTGCATGCATAAAATAAATTGATAAATAATAAGTCATTTCCTGCAGCACGTCATGATTTTTTTTTTTCTCTCAGCCTTACTAATCAAAATTTACATAAGCATGGGTTAAAATGCATTTAATCAGACACAGCAATAGCTTAAATAGGTGATGTAATGTAAATTACAGGCATATACTCCCAAAAGACAATCAAATAACCCTGTTACAATTAGTTATCATAAAAATGCTAAATATAAAACATAACCTAAAATAAATTTGCCTTTGCCATTTGATGTCTTGAAATTGGCACCTGTCTCTTCATGAAGATGAATCATTCACAATTCACCATGCCATTTACAACTGTTCATAGGAGCATGATCTGTGAAGTAGTTTGTATAATCAGCTCAACAGACATGCAATTCCACCAGGTGTGCCAATTGCTATACTGGTGGAAGGAGTCGTGGGGGAGGGGAGCTCTGGGCTGGGGACTACAGCTCCAAGGGGAAGGTTTGTAGAAATAGGCGGCGCTTTGTATGAGCAACCTCCAACTGACTGCCACAGGACATTCAATGATAAATAATATTCGTCTTTAAATAGTTCCATGATGTAGTTTTGCACAGGAAGCAAAAGTAGGAATGATTTTTAAAAAAAAACTGCATTTTTCATACCGTAAACAACTATACATGAACATACGTTCTGATGATGCTTGTTTTAACATTAAACGTGCCTTTAGAGCAGGTTTTAAACATTTTTTTTTTATTTAGCCCACATTTCTGCATTTTATTCTAATCATGGTAATTAACTGAAAGCCTTAAAAACATCAGTCTTTAAGCAATTCATATTGCTTAAAGACCTTCACTTAGTCAAGTGAGTTGCTTAAATAAATGAACTTGTCAACAATATTCAAATCTACTGAATATGGCTGTATTTGATTCTTTTTTTTTTTTTTTTTATTTCCCAATTATGAACTCTGTAAAAATTAAATTTAACATTAAGGATCAGGCAGCAAGGGGAAGTGAAAAACAGGGAGAAAGTGGGAGGAGAAAAGAGAAAATAAAATACAGGCTATATCATGTCATCGAATGGTGAATATAACATCAGCTTCTGCTAATACAGAATTTTGTGGGTGGGAGCCCATCTGAAATGATTTTTTTTTTCCAAGACAAGGCAGTCAGTTGGCCTTCTGGCAGCAACTGAACACAAACTACTCTGACGACAAAAATCCTGGTGTTTTAATTCTGTGAAATCCTGTGGCAAAAGACTTTGCTGTACTACAGCTGGCTTAATTATATGTATGCCATTGCTACAAAAAGTACATCTATGTATTTACTATTATTAGATTACAAAAGACAAAAAGCAAAAAGCAGACAACGTGCAAAATAGAGTCAGAACAGGTGAGCATCTAAACCTTTTCCAGGTCAGCATTCATCTATGTCTGCATAATATGTGTATTGTTCAGTGTTTTATAACTCTGGCCCTGGGTCATACAATGGATGTGAAGCTTTGCTGTATATATTGGTATTGTACACAAACACACACACACACACACACACACACACACACACACAAACATCTATTTAACATCACAGGGACTTTACTTTGACTTCCAATTGTTTTCATTCATTTCTATAGCTGTACCCTGACCATCGCCATAAATCTAACCTCAATCCATACCTTAGTCCTAAGCCTAACCCCTACCCCTAAAACAGCACTTGTTCTTATGGAGCCTGGACTTTGGGCCCCATAAGGAGAGGTGGGCCCTCACAAAGCAGCTGGGAAGGGAAAAAATGGGCCTTACAAGGTGAGAAAGTCTAAAACACACAGGCACAACCAGAAACAGCAACTAAAGAGAACAAACTTTCATAGTTCTTAGCTAAAAATGTGTTGGGCTCAAGCCAATAACAGCCTCTCCACTCTATTTTTTTTTTTTTTACCAAATAGAAGAAAACCTTAAAGTCAAACCCCAAAGGATGAGCCAATAGGTGAAAAGCTGCCGCTGTGAACCCCCTCACCCTCAACCACGACACAAGGAGCTCTAAACTTTTTTTTTTTATATGCTGGCCACTCTTATTCAAAGACTATTCCACCCAGCGCGGGGGAATTGGGATTTTTTCCTCTCAGTTTCACTGCAGGTATTAGAGCAACAGTGAGGAGTGCTGTGTGACGCCACTTACTGGAAGTCATTTTAAAACTCTGGCTCGCACTGCAACAGAAACTTCCAGTCAGTGGAGTCACAGTGGAATCGAACAGTCCTCGTTTAGTTGGAAACCTGAAAATGCATCTGGACCATTCCGCATCAGAACTTGGCATCAGCACAAGAAACATTACACTTCCTTACATTTCTTGACATGCGATGTAAATAACAGCTGGTTGGTTTATTACCATAAAAAAAAATTGAAGTCTTAATCAAATATTTGATAAGTAATTTGGCCATTTGCAGAGTTACAACCCTGACAGCTATGACTATGCAATATAGGTAGGAAGTACATGCATACATCTGTTTACATTAGTTCAGAATATCCTTTATGGGGTTTTTATTACTCACAACAGGCCTTCCTCTGAAGAACATGTGTCAGTACATGCAGGGTGTATAATACTGGGGAGCAGACTTAAAAGGAGGGGTCCAGCAAACTTTTATCCCTTTAATTTTTTATTCGCCTCATCTAAATAGATCCTCTTAAAAGAGCAACAAACATGCGCTGAAAATTAAAGCTGACCTCTGCTTTTTTTTTTCCTTTTTTTTCCCATGTTTTCCAACAAATATGACAGGCAGCTTCTTTGAAACGTAACGTGCCATTGCCTACTATAAGGCAATATATTCTGACATCATTCCGAAATGAAGCAGTCAGATGTGCTGTTATGACGCCTTAGACAATAAAAGATTGGAATAAAAGATGCACTCAGTCAATCCACGTAGACTGCATTAGAGAGAATTGTGACAGGAAGGCGCTCCTGTCTAATTAGCTTAATGTCTGATCTCTTAAAGAAACACAAAGTGACTTACCGAGAAACAAAGAGCGCAAGATTGCAGACATCACGGCTGGAAATCCCAAATGCAACGGAGCAGGAAACAATGCGCTCAGACCGCCTTCGGATTCATTCGGCTGACCTAAGCGCAGGCACGGCGAGGCGGCACCATCAGCGAGCTGAGCAGCGAAATCTCAGAGAAATAAATCTTCATTGAGCGTCTCAGTCCAAGGACGTAGTAGTATGTTGCACACGCCTGACGCACCTAAGCCTCCCAAGGAGAGGAAGGGGTAGAGAAAGAAGAGGAAACGTGGCTCTTTCTCTTCATTGTCATGTGCATTCGCAGGCTATCCGCGGCGTCCAAAAAAAAAAAAAAAAAAAAAATCAAAGTTGCCCACCGGCTGCGTGGTTCTGGCGTGGGACGTGTTTGTCTCGGGCTCCCCTCTGTCTCTTCCTCGGGCAGCCTCTCCTCATCTCCTCCTGCGCTACACAAAGCTCCCAAAGAGGAGGAGAGGGCGAATAGGTGGCTGCTGAGGGGATGCTGAAGGATGGAGACCTCTAGAGTCTGAAGTTCTCTTACGCAGCCAGAGCATCCTGCAACACACACTGAAAGGCTTTATGGGAGGGTGTGAGTAGTTGTTTTATGCACGCTGTAAATAAAATTAAAATAAAAAGAAGAATTAAAAATGGAAAATAAATATAATTTGATTCTATTCGCGGTTTGATTTACAAGTACACAATTATGCCGTAGTCACACAGCAAGAATGATTTGTTTACCTGTGTGATAAATTACCACTACAACTGACACGTTGATTTATGTGGCCACTGTTATGGTAAATAAATAATCCTTCCAAATATGATCTGGATATGGGTAAATATGTGTGTATTTTCATGGGATCAAAACCATGCATTTCATGTCATATAAGATTGCAACTTGATGACATTTATTATAGATTTTGTTTTCTGGATTCAGCAGATATTCAAGCATCATGTGCATGAATGTCTTATGAATTGTGTGGTTTTCAGGTAGTTATTTCCACCCTTCTTTTTTTCCAACTCTAGATTTATATAACAAACAGTCATTTCAAAAACAAGAAATTGGCAAACACAATTTTAGATTGGATCAAAATCACACATAAAGGCATGATTAGCCATTTTCTACATGCATGCGCTCCACTTATATTTTAAATTTCCCCCAGCTACAATACACCTCAACCAGATATATACTGCTCAAAAAAAATAAAGGGAACATTTCAATTTAATTTTGTGTGTGGCTCCAAATCCAGGCCTCCATTGGTTAATCAATTTGATTTCCATTGATGATTTTTGTGTGATTTTGTTGTCAGCATTCAACTTTGTACAGAACAAAGTATTCAATGAGAATATTTCATTCATTCAGATCTAGGATGTGTTATTTGAGTGTTCCCTTTATTTTTTTGAGCAGTGTATATTGTAGCCATCAACACACTTGAGACATCTTTAGGCATAACTCTGTTTAATCTTGGCAGAATTCATTTAAACTGGTTAGTTTTCTGGCACAGACCCAGCTTTTAAACATAGTTCATACATTTTTAATAGGTTTGAAGGGCTTTGGGAAAGCCATTGCAGAAACCACAGCAGAAGCTTAAGTTAGCCTGCAATTACAGAATCCAAAGCCACTTTTAGAAGGGTGTTTATTACAGGGGAGACTTGAAGAAGAGTTCTTCTGGAACAGTCTTATTTGTTCTTTCTGAAAAGCTTCTTTATAAACACGTCATTGTTAAATTACATGTGTCATTTAGCAAGCCGAATGATGCTTTGGCTTGCTAAATGATGTGTCATTTACCACAAACTAACACTGAATGGCCTGCATACCACATTGTAACTCAGTCATTAAAAAAATAAGAAATAGAACAAACAAAGCATGATGCATGTGCCAAAGGTTTGCTTGCCTCTGATCCATTTGGCCAGGATTGAGGTAGGGCAACAATTATCATTTTATAATCATATATTTGTGCAATGGATAGACACATGATGATGCAACAAAAACACCTCTCCATGATAAAATAAAAAAACGTGTTTTCATAAAATCTATTCATTAAAGGTCTGCTATTATGCAAAATTTATTTTTTTGCATGATTTTGTTCTTCCATTTGGGTATCTCCTGCTTCAAGAAACAGTCCAGGAGCAAAAAACAAAAGCAAAAAAATCCCACCCCAAAAAAACACCCAATATTTCTTGGTAAAAAGTAAATGTTCTGTTGTTGTCCGCAGAACATCTTTTTTCAAAAACCTCTATGTTTATGTTTTAGTTAGCAACCCCAAGCCAAGCCCAGCCTGTCATGTGGCAACTCAAGTGGAGCTCCACCTACTTCAAGACGTTAAGGTTTTTTTTCTGCTGGATTTATGCTGTACAACGGCTCTTGGAATAGGACAATCTTTTGCTGTTGGCTACAGTATAGAGCATGTGTCCCAGTCACAGAAAACATAGCTTCATTTTACTTTTGCTTGCAATGTCTCTGCGGTATTGCCAAAGAAAGTTGTAGTTTGTGCAAATCAGTTTAGGAAGGAGTCCTTTGAAAATTACTGACATGACAGGATTTTCCAACATATTTCAACAAAAGGGAGGTTCCGTCCCTACTGTTTTTTCAAAAATGTACAGATGATGGCAATGCAAGTACATAACTGGTGCGATTTTTATTGTTGTTAGGCTTGTTAAATGACAATGTGTCATTTAGCATAAGCTAACATCAAACGATAGCCTCTGCTAGCCCCACAATATCTGTGCACCAAAACACTTTAGTGATAGAACTGTAGTAAACTGAAAGTCTACACTGAGAAGTCATTTTCACGTGTCTGAGAATCATCAACATGCCAGCAAGTCAGATAAATGAGAAATAATTAAATTTTTTTAAGGATTTGCTCTTGTGATGCGATAGACTGTCGCACTAAGTGGCTTCTTTGAAAAAACATCTGCTTTGTCTTTTGCGAACATCTCAGCTATGTTGATGTAATGTTAAGGCTAACCCATGTTGGCATTACTATATCTTAAATTGACAGACATACAATCTGTGTGCTTGATCCAGCAGTGAGTACATTTTCTAAATTAATAGTATGCAATGATAGATTAATTTCTGATCTACATCTTTTCTTTCAACATAATAGAATTTTCAGAACAAACAATGGAGGTGAAAACAAATTCCAGGGGCGAGGATATGGCTTTGTGCAAACTAAATAACCTTTCCAGTGGTTTTTTTTGTCTTTTTTTTTTTTTTGCTACTCATCAAAATTGAAACCTGGTTTCACAGAATTGCAACCAGTCAGCATGACGTTTTCAACAGCACTGTATGGTGGCTGCGCTGAAACAATCTCAGTAGTGAGTCGACTCGGTTCTTTGCTATAGTGGGCATACAGCTCTCCTTGTATTGTTCCAGATTTTCTCATTGAAATAGTATCATAATTTTATACTGAATAATTCAGGAAAAAAAAAAATCAGCATTTTATTAGTGATAATTCATGAAAATGTAATTGTTTTTGGCAAAATCACCAGTGCCACTACTGTTAGTACCTTTTATTTCATTTGTACTATTTTTTTAATTAAGTTAATCTAAATGAAGTTTTACTGCAGTTAAAAATTCAGGGTCATTCTGTCTTCATAAAAAAAAGGCATGTAGATTTGGATTTTTTTACTCCCTTTGCAATAAAAACCTCCAATTAACCACTGCCTTTTGAATTTATTTGCGTTGTCTTTGCCTAATATTTAAATAGCAATAATGTTCTAGAACATTTCAGCGTGACAAACATGCAAAATAATAGGAAATTAGGAAGGGGGTGGAGGGTGACACCTTTTCACACCACTGCAGGGCATCATGAAGTCTTTGAATTTCCAGAAAATGTTTAATACAAATCAGGGAAATACTAACGGTGAATAGGTAATTCCTTGGTCCAAACCTAAACAAACAATCAGCCTCCTTCCCAGGCCATCTGAGTCACCAGATCGTAATCCTATTAAAGGCCTATGAAGTCAGCTGAAGAAAGCAGGAAAAGAGAGAAGAGCCATGCATTTTAATTATCTATGTTTTCAAAGTTCTAATTAATGAAGTAAAGCTTAAAGTGAAAACAAAGCATTTCAGTTGCATGTATTTTAGAAGTGTTGATCGGGGTACTAATAATCGTGCCACCAGTGATTTAGTTTTATTGGCATAGCATTTGTGTTTGCATGTGTGCGTGCGAGACAATGCTTCTAAAAGTTGAATAATTAATTTTCAGTAAATGTGGACAGTGTGACCGAGGTGTTTTGTTATTCTCAAAAATATGTTTTGTGCTGGTAAAAATCTACATGAACTGAATCACATGTCGAGTTCAAAACGTCATGTTCCTGTTCTATTTATATTTTGTAAGCTACAATGATTCATGACTGTGATCAAAGCCGGTTCAAAATCTGTTTAGATCCAGAAGGCATGTGCGTATTTGCTTAATATCTTTTTTTTAAATTTGTCCACAAGCTTCTCAATCTTGGGATTATTCAATCAATCTTTTCAAACCTGCCACACTGCATTTATCTCTTGAGAGGATTTTTGGTGGGATGTTTTACAGGAGCAGCGTGGTCCAAGTTGGGTAAACAAAAGGCGAAATGAGAAGTACGGCTGTGCTCCGACGGCTGCTCTCGGGGCCCGGAGACAAATTAATCCTCCGCTCTTCTCTGTCTCAACAATCAACAGAAATAACAAAAGGATTTTAACTCGCCTGTGGCTAGTCTGCTTTCTCGCACTCTCTTTCAGCCCTCAAGTGGCCCACTCTCCAACACCAGCCTTGCTCTTCCCCTTTTCATTCAATAACTAGACAACTTGGGGGGGAAAAAAAAAAAAAAAAAAACATTCACAAGCTGACATGCACGCATACTCGCTCCTCTCTTGATCGGCTGTAGCACAGTAGTAAACGGACTCATGCATATTGACACAAACAGCCGATGATAGGCAGAGAGTGCAACAAATAATGTAATTCTGGATGTTGCAAGAAGCAGCAATGCTCAGTGAGTGACATACTATTGGTCTTGTGTGGCTTGGTATTTTGTTTGTAATTCCATTCTGTTCCTTTTTACTTTCTTCATCCTGACTGTCTTTATATTTTTTCTGCAGAATGTAAAAGGTCACCGTCTCATTGCAACTCTCCTCCATGGAGGTTGGTATTCGCAGAAGTGAGCTGTAGAACAGAGGAGTGAAGTGCACAAGGGAAAAGCAGCTGTGAAAGAACCACGAATGGCTGAGTTTCAAAGACATACTTCCCTCTTCCTGTCATGACAGTTGCATTGTAATTCGAGACGTAGCAATGCCACAGTACATTACCAACTACTGGCCACTTTATTAGGTACAACTCGCCCAATTACATGGCAGCAACTTATTGCATTTGGACGTCTAGCTAAGGTTCAAACTAAGCATCAGAATGGAGAGAAGGAGGGGATTTAACCATGACCGTGAAAATTGAGCAAGTCTTTTTCCAATAAGTATCACAGAAACTTGTGACTTTTCAAGTACAACCATCTCCGAGGTCGACAGAGAGAATGGTGCAAGCCCACTTTTCTACACAAATCCGAAGTTAGATTAAACACATCACAGCACTGAGGTTTTTAGACT